AATATTCTGGCCAGAACTTGGGAGAAAAACTCGGAATTGTCTATGGAAAGCAGATACTTCTCCTGAAAATATTCATTTAGTCAAATCCCCAGGTTTGCACTGAAAGTCAGCTCCAGTGGAAAATGCTGAAGAGCACTATTATTGGCACAGCTTTAATTTTCCTTTGTCTGGAACAGACACGGAGAAGACAGCATCTGTCAAGGGGAGTCTGCACACTTATGGTATTATTTAGCCTGGAATATTGTTCAAGACTTCAGGAAAGGTTCAAGCCACCACTAGGTGCACGAGAGACAGAGCCTTCCCTAGAGGGGTTATACTTCAAGCAGAGACCATAGGGAAGATACACAGCTGGGGAGAGCACAAGGTAATGTTGGAGGGGTCCTGAGCAGGGCGATGAGCAAAGGGACACAGCGCATCCCCCTGGCACCTGCTCCTCCTCCTCCAATGCTTTGTGCTCAGCTGTGTGGGCTCAATGCCTCCTATGGACACCCATCAAACTGCCCCGGCTCCGGAGGCAGCTGCAGGGGAGGGGAGAGATGGGCCCTGCTCTGTCCAGCCTGCCTCCAGCTATAAAAGTCCTGGCAATGGAGAAGAGGAAGCCAAGCAAGTCGTCTTTACAGGCACAGCGTGCTCAGAGAAACTGTGGCTGCCCCATCCCTGGCAGTGTCCAAGGACACAGGGGCTTGAAGCAAACTGCTCTAGTGGAAGGGGTCCCTGCCTGTGGGAACTGGATAAGTTTTAAAGCCCCTTCCAACTCAACCCGTTCTGTGACTCTATGAATGCTCCTTGGACAGGAAGATGCTCTTCCAGCCTCTCTCTTGCAGCCCGCGTGTGCCCATCCAATTGAACCCACCTATTTTAGATACTCCTGGGTTTTGCCCAGGTGTTGCCTTGCCATGCAATCCCTCCCTTTCTGCCCTCACCCTGCCTGCCTTCCATCGCTTTATACCTCGCTCGAACTAACACAACCGCTTTAGCTGCAAGAGAGTCGTTAGAGAAGCATCAGTGCTGGTTCCAAATACTTCCCAGCCCTGGTCACCCCCCTCTGTAAGAGCTTAAAAAGACATCGCTGAGAAGGGAGAGAGGGAGAAAGGAGGACCAGGAAATACATAAATAAAGGTGTATGGTTACTTTGGGTTAGCCCCGATGTGCAGCCCCGTCCCAGGGCGCCGTGTTCTGCACTGGGTTGAAGGATTAGTCACTTTTTCCATTAGAAGCTCTTATTCTAGGGGGATTTATAATGTATCTGTAAAATTGTCTCCAGGCTTTGCTTGGCATCTGAGCGCTCCATCAGCGGGCTGAATGTAAAGAAACTGCAGTTGTTTGATTTACTGGGACAGGGCACAGGGAGGGAGGGAGTTTTTCCATGCTCCGTGGAAATAACATGCACACACTGCCTTTGGTGCAGCGACTGCTCCAGCACAGACACAGACTCAAGCACAGGCACCGTGTGGGTGCAGCCTCACACCAGCAGACAGGAAAGAAGCAAATCAATGATTATTTCATATCTGCCTGCCTCAGAGCCAGCCCTCAGCTGTGGTTTCTCACCACGACCCATCCAGTTCACAGCCCTGCTGGGTGCGACAGTCGCTGTCATACCACTGGGGTGCAGAAATCCTGCCCTTGACGAGGCTTTTTCAACCTGATTTCTATAGGAGACATTTCTTAACCCTTTCTGGAGAGGTCTTTTAGAGATTCCTGAGTGTTTTCCTAGGGAAGACTAGGATTCGAGGAAGTTCTGCTCATGTTTCTTACTACAAAGCTGCCAAAAGGGATGAGCAAGGGCTGGGAATCAGCTGTGGTTAATACCAGCGCCTGAATCATGGAATGGTTTGGGTTTAAAGGACCTTAAAGCTCCTCCAGCTCCAACTGCTGCCATGGGCAGGGACCCCTTCCACTGGAGCAGTTTGCTCCAAGCCCCTGTGTCCAACCTGGCCTTGGACACTGCCAGGGATGGGGCAGCCACAGCTTCTCTGGGCACCCTGTGCCAGCGCCTCAGCACCCTCACAGGGAAGAGCTTCTGCCTCAGAGCTCATCTCAGCCTCCCCTCTGGCAGGTTAAAGCCATTCCCCTTGGCCTGTCCCTGCAGGCTCTTGTAAAACCAGCAGAAGCGTTGGGGCAAAGCAGGAACTGGGAGGTGACAGCACCCTTGGGTGCACAAACTGCGCTACAACCACCCATCACCTTACTGAGGGTCCTCCTTTGTGCTGGGGATGAGCTCATCTGCAGGGCAGCCCTGACCTTGGGCAACTTCCACTCAAACTTCTACTGAAGACGGGTGAATTGGGGACAAGGGAAGGATCAGGAATAGTGACCCCCACTGGGATCAGGGGGAGGGAGAGCCGAGCCCTCTCGCCACCTCCCCGCAGCGCTCATCAGCAAAACAAGAGCCCGATGTGGACGCTTCAAGGAAACAATAACCTAAAACTGGAACACGGCAAATGATTTATTCCAGCTCCAGCCTTCCCTCCCCCCTTGATTAGCAAACCACGGGGGAGTCAGCCCTGATTTCCTTCAGACAGATGCATTCTCTGCTGCTCTGCCTGCGCCACCAGCGCTCAGCCCATGGGGGCTGAGGCTCTACTTGGTATTCGTGCTGTGTAGCAGCTCCTTCAAGTCACACGGTGCCCCTGCTCTCCGGCTGGATCACAAACTTTTTCTTTGGGAGCAATGATGAATATGTTTGTTTTCCACCTTTTTTTTTCTCCCATTTAGGCTGTGAACACTTCCCCACACACTCACCTACTCGCCACTAATAATAAAGCAATCTCTGCAAAGCACTACGGCTGTTAATTCCTACTGTGATAATTTTGGGGGTGTTTTTCATGTTTCCATTCACCGTTATGAAAAGCCCCAGTGAAGCCTCGAGGAACAGGCATGAGAACACGGAAAGAAACACAGGGGAAAGACTGATCTGGGAACAAAACTCAAGTGGGAAATCCCAGCTCTGAAATCCTCTCCCCTCTTTAAGGCAGAGGCAGAGGGGAGCCGGGATTTCACCCCTGGGACTTTGGCAGTGGGAGACCTGGAGCTCGGCAACAAGCAGGGGAGACTGTGACGGGTTCAAAGTATCAAATGGAGCCGAGCAGACACGAGAGGAACAAAGGAAGTTCACGTCGTGATAATTTATTGATGCTCTTGGCCTGATCGCTTCAGTGTTTTGTCTTAACAGGACCCACCCTGAGCAGCAGCGAGCCCTGCAGGTCCCTGGGCTGCTGTGGATGTGATGTGATGATTTACAGGCAAAGTTTGCTTAGAATTAAACCGTAACAGAAGAGCGCCAGGCTGGATCCCACCCTCACCCCAGCACTGGCTGGGAAGCATCCAGTGCCTCCTGACCTCACCCCCATCGGAGCAAAGCGCTGCTCCAGGAATTCCCTTCCCCATAGTTCACATATTTCCAGCTCTACCCATTCACCCAGCAAGTGCCCTGGGAAATCGCTGCGGCCTCGGCATCCCAACTCGCTTCAGAATGAGCCAAACTGATTCTTTTCTTCCAGGAGGAGGGTCCTAAGGAAAATAAGATGCTGGGGGTTCTTTGTCCCCGTATCTTGGATACGAGCAAACTCCCACGCTCGTCAGAAACCCCAACAGCACCGGCAGCTCTTGGCTTTTTCTCTTTCTTATTCTTCCCCCCCCCCCCCTCCCAGTGTGTGTGCGCTTTAAAGCAGGATGCCACCACGATGGGTTTAAGAGACAGCAAGTGCAGAGATGCCAGTTTCTCATGTACAACAGGGAACAGCATCTTTCTTCTGTGATCACGGGTGAAAAATCAGGAGAACTAATCCAGGAGGCTCAATGCACTCCCCGGCCATTCATCCTGCTCATAAATATGCCCAGAGAGACTCTGTGCAAGAACCAGTCTGGATTTCGTTTAACCACGACTCACATCTTCCATTTGCATCTTCCAGCCGGGCTGGTCGGAGGTCCCCGAGTCGCATTCCCACCCTCTTCCCCCTCACGTTTCGGCTGATGGTTGTTGACATGGAAAACTCGCAGGTTCCCGTTTTTCCTCTCCCGCTTCGAGCGCTGTGTTTTCTCACCATCCCTATGCGGAAAACGCTCGGGTGCCAGCGCCAGCAGCTCCAAAACAAAGAGTTTAAACCAGCCTCACCCCTTGGCACCGGGCTCGCTGCTGAGCACAACTTCACAGGGAGCAGCCTGCCCTTTCCTCCCAAAATCCAGCGAACGTGGAAGAAGCAAACGAAGCGCCGAGACTTAGCGCTGTCATTTCCTTTTTAAGGCTGGAGGAGCGCTCAGCCCAGCAGCTGAGACCAGAAGGGTCCCCCCCAAGCCCCGCGGGGTGCTCCGGCACCGGCAGCTTTGTGTCCCCCCCCCCAAAAAAGAGATGCCCCGAGGACCCGCGCCCGGCGCGCACCGGGACTTTGCTCCTGTATTAATCCCTGTGTGTTTATGAGCACTTTATCCCGAAAGGAGGGAATAATCCTTCCAAACCAACACAAACCCCTCCAGTGCCGGGAGACAGCGGCGAGCCGGGGAGGGGCGACACGGAGGAGAGCCCCGGGGAACAGGGACACACAGCGGGGAGCCGGGGGGACACAGGGGACAGGACTCGGAGGCTGCCCTCGGGGGATGGGGACACACAGAGCGGGCAGCCCTTTATTGCAGCTGGCCATGACCAGGGCTGAAGGTACCGGTGGGTTTCGCTACCTCCGAAGTTTGGTTTGCTCTAGCACCGCCGGGATTCCCTTCCAGCAGGGATCATTTAATTTGCTTAAAAGTTTTATTTTATAACCTGGAACTTACGAATTGAAAACTTCTCTTTCTCTTTCCTTCCCCAAGCGTTTCTCCGAGTTTTAGGCACCAAAACTGCCCCGCGTCCTCAGAGCGCAGCCCGACATCCCTCCACCTTCCTCCTCCGGGATGAAGTAACGAAGAACCGAAGCCTTTACCGGAGCCTTTACCATCCCCGAGGGGGCTTTTGTTCCGAACCCCCCGTTCTCCCCCGTTCCCCTCTAACGCGGAGCGCCTCCACTTACCAGCTGCAAAGCGCAGAGGAAGATGAGGGTGCAGCGCCCGGTGCAGCATCCCATGGTCCCCGAGCAGCGCGGGCAGGGCCAGCCCGGCTCACCCCGGGGCTCCCGGCTCCCGCGCCCCAGCCCCGGCCCGCAGCTGCCGCGGGGGGAGGAGGAGGAGGAGGAGAAGAGGAGGAGGAGGAGGAGGAGGGAGGTCGCGGAGGATCCGGAGCCCCTCCGGGAGCCGGGGAGGAGGCGATGGGGCCACAGCTTAAAAGGGCAACGCTCCGGCGCGGCTGCGCTGCCGAAGGCGGGCAGGGATGGCGGGGCGGGGGCTCGCTGCCCTCGCAGGCGCCGAGGGATGTTCTCGGGGTGCCAATGGGATGCTCCCGGCGAGCCCCCCCCCCCCCCCGAGAGGCTGAGGCAGGCACAGCCTGGTTTTCCCTCGTCTTCCCTGGAGGGATGGGGGCTGTCTACGGGACACAGAGCCTATGGGGCATCCCAAGCGATGGGAATGGGGAGCTCCTCTCCCCCTTCCACATAATGCCCATCACCTTCCTCCCCGTGCAGGTGCTGGCATGTTCACTAAAAATTACCTAAAATTGATCTAAAATGCAATGATTCTTCCCATCAAATTTGTCACACATGGAAGATAAACTTGGAAAGGGGGATAAGACAAGGAGTTCTTTACAACGCACATTTGTGGGTGTTTTGAAGTGTACGTCCAGGCTTGTGAATGAACCATGGCTGAATAGCAGGGATGTAGGGGAGCATCTCTTCTTCCAAGAAGAGCTTCTACCTGAGCACCATCTATGAAGCCATCCCCAAACACCTCATCTGTAGGAAAGCATGTCCATCTACTTCAGCTGTGACCAGCAGAGTAAATCCATGAGCACACAACCGCCTCCTTTACATACCCCAGCCACTGGTATTGCCTCCTTCTCTCCAGGAGGAGAAGCAGGGCCCATTCGATAGAGCTCACTTCCTGCCCTACTCGCTTCTGGCCAGCCAAGGGGCAGGAACCACACCATGTGCTGTGATCTGTCCCGAGCTGTCCCGACTCAGGTTTAAGCGCAACACATGAAGCTTTAAGGTCCCTTCCAACCCAAACCGTGCTGTGATCCTATGATTCTGCCTCCAAAGGGGTGCAGCTTCGCCCCGTGAGTGACCAGTTCCACTTCCCTTTTAAACAAGCGTGTCACACTGCTTACTTCAGAGGTGCGAGGAGGAGACGGGAGCTGAAATGACCGAGGAAAGCATCCCTGCCTACACCGCGGGGCAGCAGGATTTATCCTAAAGCGCTATGAATGTTAAAAGCCTTGTATTAACAGCATCATTGATATTCAAATCAGCCACAGGGGGAAACAGAACAAACAAACAAGCAAACTGAATGCTTGAGATTAGGAGACAGACTGCGCATTGCCCACAAATCCGACTGGTTTTCAATGGCAAAGTACATCGATTCTCTGCCCTGTGCGCTGTGCACAACCAGGGCACCAGTTAATGCAGTCAGATACAATAAACCACCCTTTATTACAGGTGAAAGGAATACACCCAGAGAAGAAATCAATTTACTCCACTGAGAAAACTGTGGACTGAAGAAGCTTTGGCAGTAACTGCGCTCCCAGGAAGATGGGTTTGGATGGTGGAGGCAGCAGCTTAGTTTGTAATGAATGCAGATGAAACATTCCTTTTACAACCTGCATAGGGAGGCCTCACTATGCACTGGAGGGTCAATCCACCCGACATCAGAATTACAAGAGGAGCTCAAACAAAGCAGGCTGGGTCCTGCTGGTTGCTGTTTCCAGCTCTGGAAGCTGCTGCGAACAGCGGGGGCTGGCTGGGATGCAGCAGTGCGGGTTAGTACCGGCCCTTTGTGCCTTTTCGGAAGGTTTCCTGCATCGCTTGTGCTGCCTCCTGCTTCTGAAAGCCTCCCGTAAGCACGGCTGTTTTCCAAGTCAGCTGTACCACAAAGGAGACACGGCGTGAAACAGCAGAAGGTATCACTGTGAAAGGCTGAGTTTGACTTAAACAGGGCTCTTTCCACCTGCACTTTCATCTTGATAAGAGAAGCAGAAGGTAACCCTGTGCTGGCTGGGACTCCATGTGCAGCCAGCAGAATACACACTGACCCTCCTCAGCTTACCGAGAGGGGTGAAACCACAGGGATAACATAGACTGTATTTCAAAGAGAAACTTAAAACTCCCAGAGCCTGATCTTGTGATCTTCATTCAGATGATTCCTTGTCTGTGTTGGGGTAGCAGGAGAGGATCTGCCTTCATGTAACCAAGCAGCCCCACTTGGGGCTACTCACATTGAAAGCTGGACACGTGCATCAGTGTTGGCCTCCAGTCTCTTTTGGTTATGGACACCAGTGGAGGTGGATTGAGTTTCCATCTCACAACAGGTTTGGGGTTTTGGTTGCTCTTTGTAGGCTAATTAAAACATCTCCTGCAGGCTCTGTGAGATGAAATAACAACTTAGCTGAATTTGGACCTAAGCGAATAAAGCATGTGGGTCTTAGATCCGAATTAAGTTAGGTTTTTTTAATTAGAGGTAGATTAACAAGGCACCATGGGATGAGGCAGCCCAGAGGCTGCCAAAATGCAGTGCCATCACTGATGTGCTATGCATCAACAGTAACCCTCATGCACCCCCATAGAGCAGCACTTGGCTTGGCACTGCCACAGCAGCCACCAGCATCTCCTAAACACAGTATGAAGTCCTGGTCATCCACATTCCTGAATGAGTGCTGCATCTACCCTGAGAGTTCAAATGATGCTCCAGACACTGAACATCCTTGTTCCCAGCCCGTGCTTGAATTAGGAACCTCTTCCCATCCAAATTCCTTGTGCTGATGGTGCTTCATGGATCCAACTGCACTGTTATGGGAGATTAACCTTGTTATCACTCGTTCCTGGCTGGTTGCATCCAAATTCCTTCCAGAAGACACAGGTTTACTTCAGAAGAAACCAAGAAACAAAGTTTGCAACCTTGAGGCAAAACACCAGTGTCTCACCACAGCTCCTTATTTCTCATCTCTGCAGCCTCCTCCCTCTGACAGATGAAGATGAGCAATAGGGGCTAAAAGCATGAGCTGGGGACACATCTCTTCACAGCCCAAACCCTGTCATTGTCACAGCTGCTGGAAGCTATTGATGGTCCTAGAGCCCATGATACATGTGGGGTGCACTTATATTCCATTTAATAGCCTCACCTGGGTCACGATGCCTTTAGATTGGTCTGAGCAACTGCAGCAGTGTCAGAACACTCCAACCTTATCAATGCCGCTTCCAAAAGGCAAAGTGTGTCCATTGCACTTCATTACGGCCTTAGAGCTAACCATCTGCCTGCTCCTCTCACCCAGTGCAGACAGCAGCCTCCCAAGGTGGCACATCACATCCTATGTCACATCCTATTTCTCTAACATGAATTAGAAGTAAACCCCTTTGCCACCCGCTGTCATGCAACTGATGGCAGCCTTCCATGGTGCACAGTGGGAATAACAGGGGCCACCTTCAGCACAACCAGTTGGAACATCTTCACCTAAGAGGTGGCTGAGCCATGGGTCCTTAAAATGTGGATGGGTGCAAACGGATCAGGGTACAGCATCTTCCCGGGTGGGAGGAGGAAAGGGCAGTAGCTTCTGCTCTGCCTCCTCGACAGAGCAATGCTGGACACAGTGACAGGACCTCGCTGCTGGTGAGCAGAGGCTGCCACTGCTCACCTGGGGCAGCCAGGCCTGGCTATAAGAACTGGACTCTGTGATATTGCCATGTCTCACTGAAGACTTTTTCTATAGGAAAGGGTTACTGAACTAGCTAGAAAGAGAGAGAGAGAAGGGAAAAAGGGCAAGGTTTTGACCTTCTAATTTTAAACTTGTCATTGTTTAAACCTTTCATTACCCCAAGCTAATAACTAGAGAGTTGTTACACAGCTTAGCTGCTCTGGGACCAAAGCCAGCGAAGCCAAGGCTATCAGAGTAGGAGACCTAAGGGAGATGGCAATAGCACAGACATGTCCTTCTTCTCTCCAGCGGGACCAGAGAGGCACAGGAGCCCAAACTGAGCTGGAACACCCCCAGCAAGCAATGTCCAAAGGAACCACACTCTGCTCCTCCCCTCCTTTTGCAGCCTGGTGAATACATTGCAGAGAAGAACAGCCCTGAGAGAGCAAAGAGCAGTGGCTTAAAAATTGTTCTCATCATCACACAAGAGAAGAAGCAACCTCAGTGGCTTCTGTGCTTTGAAATGGTTCCCACAGCCCAGGGCAACCTGTAAAATTTATCAGAACTGGTGTGTGAAACATGTCACTGTCTCTCTGATCCCTGGGAAGCTTTGGGATGCTGCAGGGAGGCAGCTCCTAATCAGGCTTTTGTCTGCCACCATCGTCTCCATTCCTCATTTGTAATTCCCTCATATTAACTTGCTGAGCTGCACAGTACGTTCTCAGTGCTCTCTGATGAGCTTGTGGAGGATGGCAGAGGTGGAACGCAGCCACCGAGCTCTCTGCCGCATCAGGGTAACAGCAAGGTGAACAATTCGTCCACATCTCTGATACAGAGACCTTGTTTGTGTGATTGAGGGCTTGCATGAAGGAAACACGACTGATATTGTTCCTCCCTCTGCATCAAACACATAGGTACCCGTTCACTGTGGAGTCAAGGTTCAAATTCACACTTCCACAGCTTTACAAAGATGCCTTGGCAATCCTGCCATAACATCCACGAGCAGCTTTGCAAAGAGCTCCTTTTCTACTCCTCTGTGACTATAAAGGAAAAGCACTGAGACAGAAACAGCCTGGAAGCCACCAGCACTATTGTGAGTCTGAGGAGGGTTCCTCGCGCCATGGACCAACACCTCCCCTGGGCACCAAAGAGCCTCCCCTCCTCCTCTGTCTGTCTTATTTACAACATGGAGACCCAGAACATGAAGCTACTGAACTACTTTGGGAAGAGCTGCTCAAATCAGGGCCATAGCAGCTCTGGGGATTGCATGTCAGTGTTCCTGGGTGCTTTCATAGGAATAACCTGGATGGAGAGGAGGGAGAGCCCGAAGGGTTAACACAGAGGACAAGCAGGCTGTCACAGCTGACACCCCAGCATCTCAGCCCATGCAATCCGAGTAGCTGGCATGACTGCAGCCGCATTTCCAGCTGCAATTCCACTAGGCAGTGTGACCATGGAGCAATTCAAGGCAGCTGCCAAGGTCCCTGGGTATTGATACCAAGTGATTATTCAAGGTTTCCATGCAACAGTTGCATTTCTCAAATGATAGGGCCAAAAAGAAAAGAGCCCCAAGGGTGAGAGCAGTCTCCAATTCATGG